GTCACTGAAGCGCTAGGGGCCAAGGACTTTGACACGCTCCTCCTGCCGCGACACGCTCCGCCCACCGCTCGATATTTTGTCCGCGTCGCAATGCTGATCTGCTATGCTCTCTCTTCTCGGATTTCTCTACCGCTCTCCGCGCTCACATTATCTCTCATCTCCCTGCCGGCCTTTTGAACTTCGCCGCAACGTAGAGCAAAAGGCTCGTATTTCCTGTGTATTTCACGTTTTTTTTCCTTTTTTCTTCCACTGGCGGTCCACCTCCCACTCCCACATCACATTTGAGTAGAATTACCTCATCAGTTTAAGCTTGAATCTTGCCTTTAAGGCCAGTTTTTACGACAGGCTCGTATAACTTCGGTTGTTAGTCCCTAGCTTCAAATATTGTGGCCGTTTGCAAGCCTAGAAGAGCGCCGGGGGGGCAGTGATGAGTGTGAAAAATCGTCTACAGATACCAGCCAAAACTACGACAAATGCAGCAAATTAGGGCCTGGGCTGAACTCGCCAGATATCTGAGCACAAAACTATATCGTGGAGTCCATTGCAAGAGCCCCTAGCAATTGTATGATGATGTTTCAGGTTCGCCTCCCGAAGTTATACGATGTAAGAATGCTCAATTTTTACACGAACTTGAATATTATACTTTTCGCGGTCTTCACACTTGATTTTATCTGTCAAGTCGTGTTTAAATGGATTCAATAAATTGGAAGATAAATTATGAGTGGAGAGCGGCAATGACATGGTTATCTCCGTCAAAGTACTTAACTTCCAAATTACTTTACCCTTTCACTTCACACATTAATAATTCGTGCACATGTTTGATGCAGTTAAAGCAACAGTTCAGGAACGGTTTCGCGGGAAAAAACCACCAATAATGAAGTTGTAGATGAAAACCAGACGATTAATGTATGAAAAACTGGAAAAAAACGTCGGGGAGGGTCTTAGACAGGTACTCTCCCTCTGCCGCTCAGCAATGGATAAAGACGCACGTTGGACGAGTTGTCTGAACGTGCCCGCTGTAAACGCGCTCCATTTTTCAATCAATTTTCCCTGTGGTCCCAAAACGAGCACGATTGCCGACGCGTCCAATGACGGCCGGCAAGGGGGCGGGATTGGGGAAATCCCCAAGAACACCCATGTTTGAGGGACTTTCCACCCTGTTTTTGAGTTTCTGAGGTAAGTTCGTTTATTATTTCCACTGCATATGTTCTTCACTAGGGCTCGTGTATCCCTCAGTAGTAGTGGCATTGAAATTTTCGGACCCTTAAAGCAACAGTCCAGGCAGGGTTTCAACTACTTGGTCATTAGGCGGTCAAAACATGCCCCAGCCCAACTAAAGTTTATAGGAAATGTCTTTAAGTTCAAAACCTACCTCTAAAATGCGCTGGAAGGGGTCGAAGTCCTCTTGGAGGGGGCGGATCACCCATAAAGAGGCGGATCGCTCCAACATACGCTGTGCAGAGCGCTGCTTGACTAGCGGTCGTTGCGGGACCGCCGCGCTGTATGAGGTCGATTCCATAAGAACGCAATTGAAGCGCTTCAATTTCGATTGCTGGCAATAGTTATGTATTTGCAAGCATGCAGCTATTTGCCAGCAGTTGCAATTGGAGCGCATGTACTACGGGCAGGTTCGGACAACTCGTCCAACACACGTCTCCCTAAACGGCAGGGGGAGTCCCTGTCTAAGCCCCTGCCCGACGTTTTTTTCTACTTTTTCTTTCTCCATTGACCAACTTCTCACCTGCAACGTCATTATAGGTGGTCCTTACCCGCGAATTCGTTCCTGGATTGTTGCGTTAAAGTTAGAAAATGTAACAAGCTGATGGAATATACGGTAGGTGGACGAACTTAAAAGTAGACGTTATCGGTAATTGGATTTAATAATTGAAGTGATAATTGATATTGATAATCGAAGTGAAAAGAAATGTCAAGCTGGATATCGTTGCTGGCTATGGTTCTGGAAAGTGCGGTGAAAGAAGGGTTGCTCCACGAATGTAACACACCACGATAGCTTTGAAAAAGTTGAAAGATTGGCGATATTATCACAAAACTGCCAGAACATCATGAAAGAGCGATCGATTTACAAGAGGCGTGGTAGGAGAGTTCCATTCCATGATCGAACATTTGCAGTGACACCTAGAGGAAAAACTTAACTGATGATAAATTTCCACGTTCATGGTCACATTAAGGCAAATTTACAAAACGAATCAGAGCAAGTATCATAAAGATAAACACATTGAGGAACAATGACGCAAGCCTTTTTGGATTGAGCCAACGCATTTGACTCCCAACAGGATAAAAGAGCACTTCTGAACTGCAGCGGTCAGGTTCTATGCTACGACCATTAGGGTGGGGGGGGAGGACGCGAATCCTGACGCGGAGAGTGGAAGGCTAGACTGGCGGCTGGCATGAATGATCGGGAAATTGAACCTAAAACAACGCCGATCTTCATGAAATGTCCCAGCGATTTAGCAATTTCAGTCAGGGCCTTCTATAATATGACATTTTACCCAATACTTTGAAAAATGACACGCAGGCGGGTGCAATGCTAGCCGATGGGCACGCTGATTTTTTGAATACGGTAGGCGCGAAATCCCCCTATTTCGGAAGACGAGAAGAGGGTCGAGTGCAGACCACATACCACAAGTGACGACGGCTAAGAAAAATGTAGCTTTTCTTATGCAATGTTCATGATAGGTTGGTCAAAATCTCGGCTGACCTCTGCCCGAGTCAACCGAGCATTTCACTTTCCGTACCCGCAAAATGGCAAAACCCCGCTTCGAGAACAAATAAGAACACCGAGTTAAATATCATCCGTAGTTACATGGCACCCTTACGTTGTTGTACAGGCCAAACGATTTCAATCACCACACAACTCTGATTGGCAATGCAGTGCGTAGCGCATCCTACAAACAATGATCAGTGCTGAACAGTCTAGCCTTAGGCTCTTTACAGCTTCAGGACTCTTTACAGGTTACAGGTCTAATCAACGTCAGAAAACATTTAACTTCCTCCTTCGAACCACGAGGGGTCTGAAGCGAGGTTACGATACGATTGGGTTGGGTATATAGTGGAAGTGGAGATGCTGAATAATGCCCCAGTGGCGAAAAAAGCAAAGAAATCCGTCAAGAAGGCGCAAAATGGGACCCCTTTCTTTGCCCGTTGACCTCCGATAATGGACGAGCTAGCAACCAATTAGAGGTCGTTTGCACATGTTAACTGATAGCCACCATCATACCAGCAAAGATCATGCTTTGATTGATAACGCATCCCATGGGAAAGTTATAGGATATGCGCTCGAAGTGGAATACCTTATCTGAAAGATAGAACAATGATGCTGCTAGCAACACACTGATGGGCGGAGCACAGGCGGCGGAGGCGGAGCTCAGAAAGGATTGGCAGCCCCAGGGCGCTGAACTAGCGCGTCCTTTGGCCACGAAAAGGCCACATCTAGTCCGCTGACTACTGGAGTCCCACTGCTGCGACGGCTGCGATTTTGTGAGCGCCGCCGCCTGACCTCACATCCGCGGATTTTGTACTGTAAATGAACAAAAACATGAATGTCACAAAATAATTTCAGCAATGTTCAATGCGTAAAGATTATCTAAACATATAATAGTAGGATTTCGATCAGAACGACGAATAGTGGTAACGAAAAGAGAGCATTTATTCACTTTCCCGTAAAGGAATTTAAAAGCATTTTGAACTCGATTACGAGATTCAACCGCATATCCCTCCATAGCTGGCAGCCCATATGGGCTGCCATCGTCCCACGAGCACAATTCCTTGGCAGGTTATGTGCGCTGCCGCCGGCGTGAATGTGTAAATGACCAAAATCATAATATTCTAAGGTCGACAGTGCCACCATTTCGAGCAGTCCGCAGGCCACTAAGGCTCTCTAATTGAACAATGTAGTTAGTTTCGAGACATATAGCTTAGGTTTCTAGAAAGGTTGCCGACCTTGAAAAAACATTGAAAATCGGATCAGCAAATGGGAATAGGTCTATAGGAGTAGAAAAGCTGCTAAAGAAAATGTCGAGCTGTCCTGCAGGACAGCGCGTGACCACATACCAAAAAACCAACGCTTCAAAAGCATCAGTAGGAGATCTCTCAATATTCTTTCTGACCTTGGATGAGTTTGATCACGAAGTTCTTCGCCTATCAGGTGTTTTGATGCAGAAAACTGAGACTGTAAATGTAAACAAAGGTCACCTCACGACGTCGCGCACATTTGGCTGTGCCGCATGGATGGACGGTGCTGCGAGGTTGGTTGGAAGCGCGGTTGCGGTTGCGTATCTATGGAAGGTTGTCGTTATGTGTCTGAGTCAATTTCGCATAAACGCTCTTTCCTTGTCTCTGTTTTCTTTGGTTCTCTTCCATAGCTACAGTCATTAGAGGTGTCTTCCACCTGGTTATCGCAGCGTATTGACGGTTGAATCGGCGTTTTTCAGCCTTATTCGGTCACAAACATGTATACCCGTTGTGTCCACTCTCTGACGATTTCCACGCCGAGCAAACATGGAGCAGTCGCTCCGCATGCATGCTAACAAGCGTGCGCGACGTCGCGTGGTGACCTCTTACAGGAAATTCTTTGGACATAAACGAAAACGCTCTGGGGGCAACAACATTTTATTCGAATGACTTTGATACCCATCAATAAACATTCATCAAAAGAATAGCCCCATGATAAAATGAAGCAATAGCAACGATAATCGATTTGATTACAGGCCTAAACGGTTGTGTGTGTGTGGGTGATGTGGGGTGAACAACCGGATATGCTCTAACGAACGATTACACTCGAACAAAAAATGAAAAGGCGACGAAAGTGAAAGGATCCGGCTAGGATACTGGACGAGATCTTATTTACAGCCTACTTAAAGTGAATTGACACGAGATTTCACAAACTGAATACATCGAAGGCACCTTCAGAAGACAACTAGCAAGCTATTAGAACTTTGCCACTTTAATCGTTGTATCAATCAAGTGATACTCAGCACTTTAGCGAGAACGACGACAACAGCAAGCATGGTGGCAGTGAGGCTGCTCACACCGCTACTGGTACTTTGAATAGCAGCAGCTGGCTGTGTACGACGAGCGCGGCATTCAGAAACTGAAACAGAGCCAAAATAAAATCTGTTCTGCTTCAGAAATGCATATTTACGGTAGAAATGAGGTCATACATTGCGTTGGGAAAACTTTTGGATCAGCACAAACCCTTGCGTTCTGGGACCTAAAATACAGGGGGGGGGGGTGGGCAAAAAAGACATTTTGTCTCTACATTCAGATGGTTTTATTCACACTCTGCTCAGTTCAACCCAAATGATTCCAACTTAGAGTTGAAGAGCACATTTTATAAGAAATTCTTCATGGCCACCCACGTGGTTTCTATCAAAAAAATTTGCCCCGGAAACGTGGTGCACTGGTCGAGCTCAATGGGGTCCTCGAGGGATCGTGAACCAAACGACCTTTAATGAAAAGCTAGTTCCGAAGGGGCTTGCATAGAGGGAGCAAATGTATCTAGGGAACTATTCAACATTGGATCGATCCACGAAATCATGTAAGAGCTTCAGGCTGAAGCAGTTACGTAGCCTCCTTGAGCTTGACGACGATGACAGATGACGTCATATTCTGAAGACGGTGAGGGCAGTGAAAGGAGGCCTGCGTACACTATAGAGGGACACTTAGGGAATACTCTGCTGAGGAACTCCCGTCAACGACAGCAATCTCTGCGAAGAAAAAAGGGCCGAAGTCCGACATAGGCAAAATGTCTTTTTTTTGCCCCCCCCCCCTGTATAGACTTCTTCTCCCGGGCTGCACTTGGCTCTTCGGGAAAGAAAGTCCGGATGGAGTTGACAGTGCATCTTTTGGAAAGGAGAGTAGGGATCAATAAAGTTGTAAGTACTTTTAGGAAGATTTCTAAAACTTTAAAAAAAATTTCACGAAGTTTTGGAAAAAGAAACCACCCTGACAGGTACATCAGATACATAGTTCGAATGTGAGGATGGCAAGAGTAAATTCGGATAAGGAAGCCCGTAGGACCGGAAGCCAGGAATCCTTGATTTCCTAAGGTGTGGGGGAGAGGCGTGGGGCGAGGGTCATGTCTGCCATACCTGGGGCAAGCGTGGTATTGGCTGGATTTACTAAAAACGTGGATTACTTTGGTCCTAATCCATATACGACCGCTTAGCCCTTCCTTGTATGCAGTGACTCCGGTAATACGGTAAATTCTACCACGAACTTCAGCTTCCTTAAAAAAAGTCGTTGGGTTTTGGCAAAAGTACGGAATTTTCGAAGTATTTAGTCATTTTTTTCTCTCCAAGTTCATAGATCTTTATGTTCTCTGACCGATTTGTTCAAGAAATACAGAATATCCACCCAGAACGCTTCGTTAGCTACCAGCGAGCGGTTGGATCTAGGAGGATACTCCGGTGTGGATCCTTGGCGATCAGCTACGGAGGGACTCCCACGTTACAAATGCTCCTTTGATTGGCTGGCCGCTTACTCTGCACCTGAGCGACTCGTGCCAGGAGGAGCCAATTTCAATGATTCTTTGGTGTGGAACGCGAGTAT